ATAGGCCAAAGAGCACCTGACTTTGGCCGTACCACGGGAAATGTCTGTCAGAATGGGGTAGATAATTTTACATCAGGACCACAACATATATATCTGCTTGTTCATCTGCCTCTTGTTGCTGATGGGTGTTTATCATGATCACTGGGTCCACTGAACCTAGTTTCTCCTCTGATTCGGGATCCTTAGATGACAAAAAGGAAGGGTAGACGTGTAAGGGACATGGATCATAAGTCCTCCAGAAAGGGACTGTTTGTGGTTTGACTTTATTTTTTTTTTTAAGAATTATTTATGGGGGGCTGGCAGGTGGCATGGTGGTTAAGGATGCTGGACTCCCATATGCCTGAGTATGGTTCAAGTCCCATACCTGGCGGCTTGCGTTCTCACTTTCTCTCTCTCTCTCCCTCTCTCTCTCTCTGGTCAAATAAAAATAAATGAATGAATAGACAAGGTTAAATAAATAATTATTAAAAAAAAAACCTACTAACAGACTTACCAACAGATACCAGATGACTAATATTTTCCAGCATCACATCTTTGTATAGTTTTCTCCCCGATGTGTCCAGTAGGGTCCATTCTTTCGGAGTGAAGTCAATGGTGACATCTTCAAAGGTCACTGATTCCTAGAACATCATGAACATTCTAATTTAGATAGAGCCATCTTACCAATGTCCAGAGTGAAAGCGTTGAGACAACAATGCTGAGCCAGCAAGAGAAACTGAGTTCACAGATCGAACTGTGTTTTGGGATCCAGTTTATTCATTCTAAGTGCCAAGCTTTGAGTCCTGGACCTAGTGGCTTGCTTTCTTGCTTTCACTTTCCCTCTCTCTGCCTCTCTCTGGTCAAATTTAAGAAATAATAACAAGTGCAATTAAATAAAAATAACTTTTTAAAAAAAGATTGGGACCAGCAGTTAGTATAATGGCTATGTCACTGGACTCCCATGTAGTCGACCACAGTTCAAGTCCTGTATGTGGTGGCTTAAACTCATGTGTGCGTGTGCATGCATGCATGGAGTGCGTACATGGGAATCCAGCAACATAGCCATTATGCCAACTGCTGGTCCCTATCATTATCATTTTTAAATTTGCCTCAGGGCACACACATTGAACAGTGAGGGGGAGAGAGACAGAGAAAGAGGAAGCAAGCTGCCTGGTTCGGGACTCAAATTACAGCCAGCCATGGGGGAGTTTAATGCCTTACCCATCACACCACCTGCTGACCTGTCATTTGATCTTTCATGATCTTAGCAGGGCAGTGTGACCTTTGAAGATGTGATTGTTAACTTTTTCCAGAAGGAACGAGATCTCAATGAGGTTTAGAGATACTCATATCATGAAGTGCTGGAGACCTTAACATTTCTCTCTTCCCTTGGTAAGGCCCTCACATTCACCCCATAACCTGAACTAGCCTCTACACTTCCTTCTTTCCTCATTGACAAGGCTATCTCTGTCACATAAGGACCATTGACACAGCTTGCTTTCTTAGATCTTAGGACATGTTCTTTGGTTAGGAGGACCTCTTCTTGAGTAGCCCCAACTCCTGCTTCGCTACACATGTAGAATCAAGAATCTTGCAGTTACCCTCCCCCCAAAAAAAAGGGACCAGCAGTTGATGTAATGGCTACGTTGCTGTACTCCCACGTAGTCGACCACGGTTCAAGTCCCGGACCCAGCGGCTTAAACTCACGCCGGGCGCGTGTGCATGCGTGCCAAGATCCCGAGAGGAGAATGGAGGAGAAGGGATTGCGGCATGGCCTTTCCTGCTGGGGAATGATTTGTCGCTTTCTGTCTCTCTGTCTCTCTCTGTCTTTCTGGCGAGCGCACGCACCCTATAGCAAAAACCTCTCAAAAAAAAAAAAAAAAAGAATCTTGCAGTTACCCTAATGGAGTCCACATTGTTTGCCCTTGTCTGTTTGGGTGACTTTGTCCAGATCCAGGCCCCTACTACCTTCCTCTTGCTGACATTTCCTCCTGCCTGCCTATGCCAGGAATTGCCATCACTGACATGGTCACTACTGTAGATTATGAGATGTTCTTGCAAAATCCTACTTTGAAATTCTCTTTGTAATATGTAGTTATTTTTCTGGTAGGCTCTTATGTGCTGCCTTATTCTGAGTAAGTATTGGCTGTATATCAGTTCTGTCTTTCTCTTAGTATTTGCATCTTCCACGTCCCAAGTACTTGATTATCTTGGTGGTAGAATGGAGAGCTCTCAGTATCCAGAACATGCACATGAATCCAGCCTTAGCAAGATGGGCTCAGAGGGAGCCTGGCCCTAAGAAGGGACATGTTATGTGGGCATAACATCTGGATTCTGTTCAAATCAAACCAGACGTTTTTTCTCTACTCTTTTTTTTTTTTTTTAAAGAGATAGTTTTTTTGCTATAGGGCATGCACACTCACCAGAAAGACAGAAAGAAAGTGAGAACACGCTACAATCTCTTTTCTATTCACCTCTTGGGATCTTGGGCACTCACACATACATGTTTTAAGCCTCTGGGTCTGGGACTTGAACCACATCTGACTACATGGGAGCCCAGCAACATAACCATTACACCATCTGCTGGTCCCACTGAGCATGAGTTTTTAGCCACCGGGCCCAGGACTTGAACCATGGTTGACTATGTGGGAGTCCAAAAACATAACCATTATACCATCTGCTGGTCCTTCACCGCTTCTCTTTTATCCAGCCTAGGAATAATTTTCATCCCTTAATTCCATTTTTCACTTCCTTTTCTCACTCCTCCATCCGCAGTGGTCTCTAATGTTAACATATCGTTGTATTATGACCATGAACATATTCTCTCTCTTTCTCTCTCCCCCCTCTCTGTCTTTGCTATAGGGTGCATGTACTCACCAGAGAGAGAGTGGGTTATTTTTTTAAATTATTTTATTTAACTTTATTTATTCATTCATTTATTTATTTTGATTTGACCAGAGAGGGAGTGAAAGAGAGAGAGAGAGAGCTGGCAAGCTTCCAGGTTCAGGACTTGAACCATAGTCAGCCACGTGGGAGTCTAGCACCCTTAGCCACCAAGCCACCTGCCAACCCTGAGAGTGGGTCATTTGAATGCAGACCTTTCTGTCTAAATTACAAAAAGCAGCAGTTCTCTCTTGATGCCTCTTGACCCATCTCAACAGAGGTTGGCAGTGCCTGCTACCCCACATTCAGATTAAAGCTATTTATTTATTTATTTATTTATTTGAGAGGTTTTTGCTATAGGGCACGTGTGCTCACCAGAAAAACAGAGAAAGACAGAGAGACAGAAAGCTTGAAATCACCCACCCCACCCCCCCAAGAGGGATAGCCACGCCACAATCCCTTCTCCATTCTCCTCTCAGGATCTTGGGCACACATGTACATGCACCTGCGTGAGTTTAAGCCACCGGATCCGGCACTCAAACTGTAGTCACCTACATGGGAGTCCAATGACATAGCCATTATGCCAACTGCTGGTCCCCAGACTAAAGCTTATTGTAAAAGCCTGCAAGAGCCTCTCAGCATAGGAGTTAGGTTGTTATTATTATTATTATTTTCCATAAAGGTAGGGCATGTGTACTTGCTGGAGAGAGACAGTGAGAGGGAAAGTGAGAAATCACCCTCTGGGGGGATGGCCACACTGCAATCCCTTCTCCATTCTCCTAGGATCTTGGGCACTCACGCACTCACACACACACACACACACACACACACACACACATACACACATTTGTCTGGCATGAGATTGAAGCCACTGGGTCAGGGACTTGAATTGCAATTGGCCATGTAGGAGTCCAGTGACATAACTGCTACACCATCTCCTGGTCCCAAGAGTTGGGGTTTTTGATGCAAAAGTTTCCATGTGCTACTGCCCATAGCACAACGAGAAACAGTTACTATTTTGCTATTGTACCTTCAGTGAAACTGCTTCATTAACTGAAGGACATGAAATAATTATGATACCTGAGATATACACTGTCTTGGCTCATATTTTCATTAGAAAATATTCTAATAACGATTATCAGAAGAATGCTGTACCAGGGCCGGCAGGTGGTGTGGTGGTTAAGGGCGCTGGACTTCCACATGGCCAACCACGGTTCAAGTCCTGGGCCTGGTGGCTTGCTTTTTCACTTTCTCTCTCTCTCACTCTGTCCCTCTCTGATCAATTTAAAAATAAATAAAGTGAAAAAAAATACTGCTTAAAAAAAAAAGTGTTATACTAAAATGGAAATAGAAGAACGCAACCAGGTTTGCACCTAGGCACAAAGGTACCCAATGTTATCTATAAACCTGTAGCATCTTTTTCCCTAGGACCAACATTGGAACCACTAAAGGAGCTGCCTTCACCTATTCCACGTGAACAGTGCTCTATGAAGAGTTTTCAATTGACCAATGAAGGCTGCTTGGTTTAGGGATGGAAGTTCCAAAGTGAATGTGTGAGGAGCTACTGCATTAAGACTATCCAGTGGAGTTACTGTGATTGGAAAAGGTCAGAATAAATAAAGTCCCATATTATTTTCTTTCTTTTAATTGGCATTTTCCAGAGAGACTGAGATATGAAGAGAGAGATGGAGAGGGAGAAAGAACACGTTCCCAAAGGAGTGTGGTCACGCTGCAATCTTCTCTATTTCTCCATCCTCTTTGGATTTGATTTACAGCATGCCATGTGAGATTTGACTTCCCTTAACCACTAGGCTACAAGGCTGGCCCATGAAGACTTTTTTTTTTTTTTTTTTTTTTTTTTTTTAAATGACTCAATGGAATGATAAGGT